CAATGGGAAGGGTAGCGGTCGTACGCTAATTACCATGTTTCTCTTTTATTAGTGTAGATTAGAGGCCTATTGCATGAAGAGATTCGTGCAATAGGCCTTCCCTTCCCCTGGCTGCCAGCACAGGTTTTCCTCCGGCATTCAGGACCCAGGCCTTCACTCCGGCCCGGAGCCTTCTGTCTTCGCTCCGCCGCTTTGCGCCGACATATGCAAATTAACCGCCATCTTTGTTGGGTTAATTTGCATGCTCTCCCGATTGGCTGGTAAGTGTAGCGGAGGGACGGTCAATTTACATGTTTGTCTATTATTAGGTAAGATGCTACTTTCCTGGTCTAGTGGACAGATTTTGCCCTTCTGGTCTGATAGAGCAGCAAAGGAGCAAGGTCTCAAACTAAAGCTGTTCTATAAATCATCACTCAGCTTCTGCTCAGAAAACAGAGTAAATGATTCTTTGTTAGTTTCCACTGGTGTAAGGCATAAATGGCCCCTAAGAAGTATATCATGAAAAGGATGGAAGAGACATAATTACTTAACTACTGTTACCATAGTAGGCTCGGGTAAACACTAGCATTTCCCTCCTAAACTGGTTTGAGCAGGGGCAAGAGAAATCCAGCTTCTCATCAAGCTTTATTGACATAGTTTATAAGCTGAAGACTGGTGTGAAAACCCCTCGAACGTTCAACCACAGAGAAAATCCCCACTCTAAGCCAACCACTGCGTCTACTTCAGTTTTAGTTTGGGGAACTAGGTCAGCCTCTGTTCTGTTGTGGTAAGAGAAAAATTAGTGTGGCTCCTTATAAGTGCAAATAGTGACTAATTTAACCGTTAATTCTTAAAACATTGGCAACATACAGTATTGAAAGCTATTACAAATTTTTTTTGACATACTCATTTCCTTTGTCACCTTTTTACTCCTCTTGACACAAATCAGTGTGTTAAAAAGTTAACTTTGTGGTGGTGGGAGTTGGGGGGGGGATTAATCGGGGAACTTATATGATATATGCATAGCCCATGGACACAGACAATAGTGTGGCGAAGGCTTGGAAGGGACGGGAGTAGGGAAAAGGGGGTCAATGTTGAAAACACACACACACACACATATGCACACACAAAAACAAAGCAGACATCTGTAATACTTTCAACAATAAAGATAACTTTAAAAAAATTAATTAAAAAAAGTTAACTTTGCTCGCCCTGGCCAGTTTTCTCAATGGTTAGAGTGTCGGCTCGAGGACCAAAGGGTTGTGGGTTTGATTCTGGGTCAAGGGCACATACTTCGGTTGCAAGCTCAATCCCTGGCCTGTCGGGTGCATGCAGGAAACAACCAATTGATGTGTCTCTCTCACATCGATGTTTCTGTCTCTCTCACACATATAGATATTTCTTTTGCTCTCTTTCTCCCTCCCTCTATCCGTTCCGTCCACTCTCTTCTAAAAATCAATGGGAAAATATTCTCGGTGAGGAGTAAAAGAAAAAAGTTAACTTTGCTTAATCTTTGAACCAAGGAAAATATAAGAAGAAAACCAAATAAAGTAAATTTTAGAACAACACACCAATATTGTTCATAATATGGGTGCATAGTCTTTTTGAGTTAATATTATATCTCTGATATTCTTTATTATTTCAAAGCAATATAAGGTTCTAGAAGTGAACATTGGCCTGTTCCAAGGATGTTTACAGAATGCAAGAGAAAATTAATTCTATTGACAAACAGAAGCATTGTCTCAAAGTGTGTGTACAATGTCTTGCCTCATTAATTCATTTCCTAGCCACCATCACAGAACAGAGCACCATCCCTACGTCATTACTTTCTTTACTATGATATAAAAACATAAAATAGTACAAAGGAAAGAATCAACTTTCTATCCTGTACAGGGAAAATGCATCCCCAAATTCAAAGTGTAGCATGAGACTCATTTAAAAATAATAAACACATTAGTGAATAGTGATATATGCATAGCCCATGGACACAGACAATAGTGTGGTGAAGGCTTGGAAGGGACGAGAGTGGGGAAGAGGGGGTCAATGTTGAAAACACACACACACACACACACACACACACACACACACACACACACACACAAAAACAAAGCAGACATCTGTAATACTTTCAACAATAAAGATAACTTAAAAAAAATTAATTAAAAAAAAAGTTAACTTTGCTCACCCTGGCCAGTTTGCTCTATGGTTAGAATGTCGGCTCGAGGACTAAAGGGTTGTGGGTTTGATTCTGGGTCAAGGGCACATACTTCGGTTGCAAGCTCAATCCCTGGCCTGTCGGGTGCATGCAGGAAACAACCAATTGATGTGTCTCTCTCACATCAATGTCTCTGTCTCTCTCACACATATAGATGTTTCTTTTGCTCTCTTTCTCCCTCCCTCTATCCGTTCCGCCCACTCTCTCTAAAAATCAATGGGAAAATATCCTCGGTGAGGAGTAAAAGAAAAAAGTTAACTTTGCTTAATCTTTGAACCAAGGAAAATATAAGAAGAAAACCAAATAAAGTAAATTTTAGAACAACACACCAATATTGTTCATAATATGGGTGCATAGTCTTTTTGAGTTAATATTATATCTCTGATATTCTTTATTATTTCAAAGCAATATAAGGTTCTAGAAGTGAACATTGGCCTGTTCCAAGGATGTTTACAGAATGCAAGAGAAAATTAATTCTATTGACAAACAGAAGCATTGTCTCAAAGTGTGTGTACAATGTCTTGCCTCATTAATTCATTTTCTAGCCACCATCACAGAACAGAGCACCATCCCTATGTCATTACTTTCTTTACTATGATATGAAAACATAAAATAGTACAAAGGAAAGAATCAACTTCCTATCCTGTACAGGGAAAATGCATCCACAAATTCAAAGTGTAGCATGAGACTCATTTAAAAATAATAAACACATTAGTGAATAGTAGTATTACAATTTTAATATTCAAAATATTAAGGTTATTTTATGGATTTTCACTTATTTGTTATTAGTTTTATATAATTGCACAGTTCTGATAACAAACGATGTAAAGCTCACTGCTATGATCCCATACTCTTATGTAATTAGTGATAGAACAATACAGTTTTAGAATGCCACAGTAAACAGTTTTATATGAAATGAGCTAATTACCGTGTGGGATCATGATGTAGCCCTATTAATAAATTTAAAAAGCCAAAATACATCTGGGGCCATTGTACCATTTAATTTATTAGACTCCTTAATACAGCTAAAATTCAGAAAGAAAACAACCCTAGTTCGTAAAGTGATAATAATCATATTGGAGAGATAAAATGTGAGAGGATAGGACATAGAGATAACATGAATTTTGAAGAATTCATGAAACATCCCATTCTCATTCCTCTCATTCCATTCTACACACTGCATCTTATGGCATCATTATGGTATCTTATTCTTTATGACTATGATAAGTTATTTGTCAAAAAGAACCTCAATAAGCTGATTCATTGTCATGGTTCCCTTCCCAAGGCTGTGAACTTGGAAGGTAGTAATATTTAAACTTTGTTACTTATTCCAGTTCTGGTAAGATGCATTTTACTTATAAATCTGCAGGTATACAAACATGCATGCACATATACATATGGGAGGAAGAATGAAAATAATTGGCTAAAATTAATTTTCAGTTGATATTTGGCTTTATTACATGCCTCCAAATTTGAATTTTATTGTATTTTACAGCTATCCCATGTTTTAAAATTTAGCTTCTGCAGCACTAAATTAATGTTAATATTAATAAACTAATAGTAATATCTCATATTTGTATAGCATGCTATAATTTTAAATATAAGCTCCAAAATATAATTGCAAATAATGAAGTGCCATTGCTCTATTCTAGAAGAGGGTACTTAGTCCAGAAAGGTTAAAAATTGTGCCAGACATCACAAAATTAAAATGTGACTGAGTCCTATATTTCATTCTGTTTCCCAACATGTTTAAAAATGGCATTTATGTAGAATAGAGTCCCTAAACCATATATGTGTACGACTGAATTTGAATGAAAAATTTTTAAACAGCTTGGTCACATTACTTAATCTTTGCACCCCTCAATGTCCTCATCTCTAAAATGGAGATTGTAGTCATCCTGCCTCACAAGATAGTTGCGAGTTAATTCATGGAGACTCATACAGCAGTGCTCAGTGAATGTTAACCTTTGCAATTACTGAGACAACTAAATTTTATATTCTTTTCCTTGGTTCATAAATAATCCTGCTTTTGAGGAGATGGCCTTACTCTTCTAAGTTCAAGTCCATGTTCTTCCTTTTATTTCATATATTTGAGGTAGATTTTTTTAAAAAAGTGACTTCCATACTTTTACTTATGTGTATGTATTATATGTGTACCTTTTTTTTAAAAAAAATTTATTTTTAACTAGAGGCCCAGTGCATGAAATTTGTGCACTGGGGGGGGGTCCCCTCAGCCTGGCCTGCGCCCTCTTGCAGTCTGGGAGCCCTCAGGGGATGTCTGACTGATGGCTTAGGCCTGCTCCCTACAAGGAGAGGGCCTAAGCTGTCAGTCGGACATCCATAGCACTGCTGTGGAGGCGGGAGAGGCTCCTGCCATCGCCACTGTGCTTGCCAGCCGTGAGCCCGGCTTCTAGCTGAGTGGCACTTCCACAGAGGGAGTGCACTGACCACCAGGGAGCAGCTCCTGCATTGAGTGTCAGCCCCTTGGTGGTTAGTGCATATCATAGCAACCAGTCGTTCCACCATTCAGTCAATTTGCATATTAGGGTTTTATTATCTACACTAATAAAAGAGAAACATGGTAATTGGCGTACGACCGCTACCCTTTTCATTGGCTAATCAGTGAGTATATGCAAATTAACTGTCAGCCAAGATGGCGGCCGGCAGCCAGGCACTGAAGCGAGCACGAGGCTTGCTTGCTGCAGACTCCAACATTCCCCGCCTCACTTGCCAGCCTCTCAGTTGCAACTCTAAGCAACTATATACTATGTTGCAAATAAGAAGGTAAACAAAACCCCAGAAAACAGCC